GATGACTACTACCCACTCCCTGGTATGATGACTACTACTCACTCCCTGGTATGATAACTACTACCCACTCCTTGGTGTGATGACTACTACCCACTCCCTAGTGTGGTGACTACTACCCACTCCCTGGTGTGGTGACTACTACCCTCTGCCTGGTGTGGTGACTACTACCCACTCCCTGGTGTGATGACTACTACCCACTCCCTGGTGTGGTGACTACTACCCACTCCCTGGTGTGGTGACTACTACCCACTCCCTGGTGTTGTGACTACTACCCACTCCCTGGTGTGGTGACTACTACCCACTCCCTGGTGTGGTGACTACTACCCACTCCCTGGTGTGGTGACTACTACCCACTCCCTGGTGTGGTGACTACTACCCACTCCCTGGTGTGGTGACTACTACCCACTCCCTGGTGTGGTGACTACTACCCACTCCCTGGTGTGGTGACTACTACCCTCTCCCTGGTGTGGTGACTACTACCCACTCCCTGGTGTGGTGACTAGTACCCACTCCCTGGTGTGGTGACTACTACCTACTCCCTGGTGTGATGACTACTACCCACTCCCTGGTATGATAACTACTACCCACTCCCTGGTACGATGACTACTACCCACTCCCTGGTATGATAACTACTACCCACTCCTTGGTGTGATGACTACTACCCACTCCCTGGTATGATTACTACCCCTCCCTGGTATGGTGACTATTACCCACTCCCTGGTATGATAACTACTACCCATTCCTTTGTGTGATGACTACTACCCACTCCCTGGTATGATTACTACCCCTCCCTGGTATGGTGACTACTACCCACTCCCTGGTATGATGACTACTACCCACTCCCTGGTGTGATGACTACTACCCACTCCTTGGTGTGATGACTACTATCCACTCCCTGGTGTGATTACTACCCACTCCCTGATGTGATGACTACTACCCACTCCCTGGTGTGATTACTACCCACTCCTTGGTATGATAACTACTACCCCTCCCTGGTGTGGTAACTGCTACACACTCCTTGGTAAGATGACTACTACCCACTCCTTGGTATGATGACTACAACTCCTCCCTTGTATGATAACTGCTACACACTCCCTGGTATGACTACTACCCACTCCCTGGTGTGATAACTACTACCCACTCCCTGGTGTGATAACTACCCACTCCCTGGTGTGATAACTGCTACCCACTCCCTGGTATGACTACTATCCACTCCTTGGTGTGATGACTACTACCCACTCCCTGGTGTGATGACTACTACCCACTCCCTGGTATGATAACTACTACCCACTCCCTGGTATGATATCTACTACCCACTCCTTGGTGTGATGACTACTACCCACTCCCTGATATGATTACTACCCCTCCCTGGTGTGGTGACTTCTTCCCACTCCCTGGTATGATGACTACTACCCACTCCCTGGTGTGATGACTACTACCCACTCCCTGGTGTGATTACTACCCGCTCCCTGGTGTGATGACTACTACCCACTCCCTGGTATGATGACTACAACTCCTCCCTTGTATGATAACTGCTACACACTCCCTGGTATGACTACTACCCACTCCCTGGTGTGATAACTACTACCCACTCCCTGGTGTGATAACTACCCACTCCCTGGTGTGATAACTGCTACCCACTCCCTGGTATGACTACTATCCACTCCTTGGTGTGATGACTACTACCCACTCCCTGGTGTGATGACTACTACCCACTCCCTGGTATGATAACTACTACCCACTCCCTGGTATGATATCTACTACCCACTCCTTGGTGTGATGACTACTACCCACTCCCTGATATGATTACTACCCCTCCCTGGTGTGGTGACTTCTTCCCACTCCCTGGTATGATGACTACTACCCACTCCCTGGTGTGATGACTACTACCCACTCCCTGGTGTGATTACTACCCGCTCCCTGGTGTGATGACTACTACCCACTCCCTGGTGTGATTACTACCCACTCCTTGGTGTGATGACTTCTACCCACTCCCTGGTATGATGACTACTACCCACTCCCTCGTGTGATTACTACCCGCTCCCTGGTGTGATGACTACTACCCACTCCCTGGTGTGATTACTACCCACTCCTTGGTGTGATGACTACTACCCACTCCCTGGTATGATGACTACTACCCACTCCCTGGTGTGATTACTACCCACTCCTTTGTATGATTACTACCCCTCCCTGGTGTGGTAACTGCTACACACTCCCTGGTACGATGACTACTACCCACTCCCTGGTATGATGACTACAACTCCTCCCTGGTATGATAACTGCATCACACTCCTTGGTATGACTACTACCCACTCCCTGGTGTGATTACTACCCACTTCCTGGTGTGAAAACTACCCACTCCCTGGTGTGATAACTACTACCCACTCCCTGGTGTGATAACTACTACCCACTCCCTGGTGTGATTACTACTACCCACTCCCTGGTGTGATTACTACTACCCACTCCCTGGTGTGATTACTACCCAGTCCATGGTGTAATAACTACTACCCACTCCCTGGTATGATGAATACTACCCACTCCCTGGTGTTATAACTGCTACCCATTTCCTGGTATGATTTTTACCCACTCCCTGGTGTGATAACTGCTACCCACTACCTGGTGTGAAAACTACTACCCACTCCCTGATGTGATAACTACCGTCTCCCTGGTGTGATTACTACCCTCTCCCTGGTGTGATTACTACCCACTTCCTGGTGTGAAAACTACCCACTCCCTGGTGTGATAACTACTACCCTCTCCCTGGTGTGATTACTACCCACTCCCTGGTGTGATAACTACTACCCACTCCCTGGTATGATTACTACCCACTCCCTGGTGTGATAACTGCTACTCACTCCCTGGTATGATGACTACTACCCATTTCCTGGTATGATTACTACACACTCCCTGGTATGATTACTACCCCCTCCTTGGTGTGATTACTGCTACCCACTCCACTCCCTGACGTGATAACTATCCACTGGTGTGATAACTACTACACACTTACTGGTATGCTGACTACTACCCACTTCTTAACTCCACTTCTCGTTAGTGTGACTTTGTAAATGGTCCAAGTCGGACCGAAACGTCGTCGTAATCTCCTCTCTTCTATGCGCGGGTTATTTGTGTACCCACTTCTTGGCGTGATTACTGCCCACTCCCTGATGTGATAACTACTACCTACTTTCTGGTATGATGACGACTACCCACTCCCTGGTGTGATAACTACTACCCACTTCCGGTGTGATTACTACCCACTCTGGTATGATTACTACCCACTGACTGGTATGACAGCTACTACCCACTCCCTGGTGTGATTACTACCCACCCCTGGTATGATTACTACCCACTCCCTGGGGTGATAACTACTACCAGGTCCTTAGTGTGATACCTACTACCCACTCCCTGATGCGATAACTACCCACTCCCTGCTGTAATAACTGCTACCCACTTCCTGGTGTGATTACTACTCACTCACTGGTATGATTACTACCCACTCCCTGATGTGATAACTGCTACCCACTCCCTGGTATGATGACTACTACCCACTCCCTGATGTGATAACTACCCACTCCCCGGTGTGATTACTACCCACTCCCTGGTGTGATTACTACCCACTCCCTGGTGTGAAAACTACTACCCACTCCTTGATGTGATAACTACCCACTCCCTGTTGTGATTACTACCCACTCCCTGGTATGATGACTACTACCCACTCCCTGATGTGATTACTACCCACTCCCTGGTGTGATAACTACTATCCACTCCCTGATGTGGTAACTACCCACTCCCTGGTGTGATTACTACCCACTCCCTGGTATGATGACTACTACCCACTCCCTGGAATGATTACTACCCACTCCCTGGTGTGATTACTACCCACTCCGTGACGTGATAACTACCCACTCCTTGATGTGATAACTACTACCCACTTTCTGGTATGACTACTACCCACTCCCTGGTGTGATCACTACCCACTTCCTGGTGTGATTAATACCCACTCTCTGGTATGATTACTATCCACTGACTGGTATGATAGCTACTACCCACTTCCTGGTGTGATGACTACTACCCACAACATACCCACTCCCTGGTATGATTACTACCCACTCCCTAGTTTGATAACTACCCACTCCCTTGTGTGATAACTACTACCAACTCCTTGATGTGATAACTACCCACTCTCTGGTGTGATAACTGCCACCCACTGCCTGGTATGATGACTACTACCCACTGCCTGGTATGATGACTACTACCCACTCACTGGTATGATCACTACCCACTCCCTGGTGTGATAACTGCTACCCACTCCCTGGTATGATGACTAGTACCCACTCCCTGGTGTGATTACTACCCACTCCCTGGTATGATTACTACCCACTCCCTGGTATGATTACTATCCACTCCCTGGTGTGATAACTACTACCCACTTACTGGTATAATGACTACTACCCACTTCTTGGTGTGATTACTACCCACTCCCTGATGTGATTACTACCCACTTTCTCGTATGATTACTACCCACTCCCTGGTGTGATAACTACTACCCACTTCCTGGTGTGATTTCTACCCACTCTCTGGTATGATTACCACCCACTGACTGGCATGATAGCTACTACCCACTTCCTGGTATGATGACTACAACCCACTTCCTGGTGTGATTACGACCCACTCCCTGGTATGATTACTACCCACTCCCTGGTGTGATTACTACCCACTCCCTGGTGCGATTACTACCCACTCTGGTGTGATTACTACCCACTCCCTCGTGTGATGACTACCCACTCCCTGGTGTGGTAACTACTACCCACTTCCTGGTATGATGACTATTACCCACATCTTGGTGTGATGACTACCCACTCCCTGGTGTGATGACTACTACCTACTTCCTGGTGTGATGACTACTTCCCACTTCCTGGTGTGATAACTACTACCCACTTATTAGTGTGATGACTCCTACCCACTCTCTTATGTAATAAGTACTACCCACTCCCTGGCAGGTCTGGGCAAGGTACACACTCAGAAAGAGTTCCAGAAACAAGTTGACGTCTTCGTGGAGAACAAGGTCGATTTTCTAATTGTTGAGGTACGTTGTTTTATCAGCTTTCTTGACTATTATTCTCATGGCAGACATTGGTCTGAGACACTCCTGCGAGAGGGAGCCTACGCCTCTTGGAAAAGGCCCGAGCCGGGCGATAATACCGGCGAATCTAGAACAGTACAGAATTATTTTTATTATTATTAGTAGTAGTAGTAATAGTAGTAATAGTAGTAGTAGTAATAGTAGTAGTAATAGTAGCAGTAATAGTAGCAGTAATAGTAGCAGAAGTAATAGTAGTAGTAGGTATTTTATTACTTTATAATTATATTTTTTATTATAAATTCTTATGAATTATCATTATTATTATTCACAGGATATATACACTGAGAGTACCTCAGTGTCCGTCTTAGGGACTGATGTATTCTTACCCGGCGGTTAGAAGGTCACCGTGCAGCCATCGTGTAGTCGATAGGCTAAAAACCCCTGAGCCAATTAAGCTGTAATCATTATTACTTATGCCTTGGTGTATTCACAAAGAAGCGCTAAACCCGTAGGGGTCGTACAGCCCATGAGATATGGTTGGTAATCAGGTTTGATTCTTGGAACAAGAGCCCTTCACAGGTCTCAAGTCACTCTCCCTGAACTGATTTCTCTTTATATTTTGTTCATTGATATTATTAAGGAAAGGGTTAATTTTCTGGAGAGAGAGAGAGAGTTTGTGTGTGTGTGTGTGTGTGTGTGTGGTGTGTGTGTGTGTGTGTGTGTGTGTGTGTGTGTGTAGTGTGGTGTCTCAGTGACCTTAGACAAGGTCCCAAATCAGCAAAATTTTACACACACGCACACGCGCACACGCACGCACACACACACACACACACACACACACACACACACACACACACACACACACACACACACACACACACACACACACACACACACACACACACAGCTCATAAAACACCAATGGGGATTGAGGAAATGGAAGGCATGGACATGATGAGAAAGAGACTACATTGTAGGTACAATTCAGTCCGGAGAACATAAAGTAGTCATTGGAGTGATGTATAACCCACCACAGAACTGCAGGAGGCCAAGAGAGGAGTACGAAGAAAACAACAGGGTGATGGTGGACACAACTGGCTGAGGTGGCAAGAAGAGCTCACTCGAGCAGAGCAAAGTTACTGGTAATGGCGATTTCAACCACAGGGAGATCGACTGGGAAACCTGGAGCCACATGGGGGTCCCGAAACATGGAGAGCAAAGATGATGGATGTGGTACTTGAAAACCTCATGCATCAACATGTCAGGGACACAACCAGAGAGAGAGGGAGGATGAGCCAGCAAGACTGGATCTTGTGTTCACCCTGAGCAGTTCAGACATCGAGGACATCACTTACGAAGGCCCCTTGGAGCTAGCGATCATGTGGTTCTGAGTTTTGACTATATAGTAGAGTTACAAGTGGAGAAGGTAACAGGAACTGAAGGGGACAGGCCAAACTATAAAAGGGGGGACTACACAGGTATGAGAAACTTCCTGCAGGAGGTTCAGTGGGACAGAGAAATGGTAGGAAAATCAGTAAACGAGATGATGGAATATGTGGCAACAAAGTGCAAGGAGGCAGAGGAAAGTTTTGTTCCCAAGGGAAACAGAAATAAAAAGGAAGACCAAGACGAGTCCTTGGTTTACCCGAAGGTGTAGGGAGGCAAAAGCTAAGTGCAACAGAGAATGGAAAAGGTACAGGAGGCATAGGACCCAGGAAAACAAGGAGATTAGTAGAAGAGCCAGAAACGAGTATGCGCAATAAGGAGGGAGGCCCAGAGACAGTATGAAAACGACATAGCATCGAAAGTCAAATCTGACCGAAACTGCTGTATAGCCACATTAGGAAGAAGACAACAGTCAAGGACCAGGTGATAAGGCTGAGGAAAGAAGGTGGGGAACTCACAAGAAACGATCAAGAGGTATGTGAGGAGCTCAACACGAGATTAAGGAAGTATTTACAGTAGAGACAGGAAGGACTCTGGGGGGACAGACCAGATGGGACACCAACAAGGAATACACCAACAAGTGTTGGACGACATACATACAGATGAGGAGAGGTGAAGAAACTGCTAAGGGACATCGATACCTCAAAGGCAATGGGACCGGACAACATCTCTCCATGGGTCCTTAGAGAGGGAGCAGATATGTTGTGCGTACCACTTACCACAATCTTCAACACATCCCTGGAAACTGGGCAACTACCTGAGGTATGGAAGACAGCAAATGTAGTTCCCATTTTCAAAAAAGGAGACAGAAAAGAGGCACTAAACTATAGACCTGTGTCATTGACGTGTATAGTATGCAAAATTATGGAGAAGATTATCAGAGGAGAGTGGGTGGAGCACCTGGAACGGAACAGGAGTATAAATGCCAACCAGCACGGATTCACGGAAGGCAAATCCTGTGTCACAAACCT